GTGAGTGAGTGTGTGTGTGTGTGTGTGTGTGTGAGTGTGTGTGTATGAACAGCATGGCCAACATCGCGGTCCAGCGGATCAAACGGGAATTTAAAGAGGTCCTTAAAAGCGAAGAGGTGCGTTTAACACCGACACACACGCGTGCGTTTTACATGACAGCTGTCAATCAATCATGCTTTAATTATGACTCACTCACACATGTGCATTTATTCATGCGAGATGAATCACACACACATGCAGCTGATCTGTTTGGACTCGTGCATCGAGATAACGCAGTTTCATGTGTGTTTGATTTGTCAGATGAGCGGTTTGGGGGATATTATGGGATGTTTGTCCCGTCCAGGCCGAGCCGTGTTGCTAAACGAGTCCAAACCCGCCGAACCGAGTCACATCACAGCTCTGGCCTCTAAATGTGCTTATTTAATCGTTTACACAGCGCTTATTGTGTTGAGACAGTGATCTGATGTGTATTCCTGTGTGTTTGTTGTGTTTTTAATAAAGGCCCGTGAGTGTGTATGTGATTAGCCGCGTGCTAACTGAGCGAACTTAGCTTCATAAACACACATTTTCTCACGTTTGACATTTAAACTGTGTTTTTAGACTAATTTATATAGGCTGACTGGTTTGTGAACTTTTATTTAAGTTTGCTCGAGATTGTGGTCCGATAGCATCGTGTATAGCATCGAAAGAATCACGATTATGATCAAATTAAGCATTATTTTGATTTGTACGAGCACACATTTTGATTAAAATCACGTTTAATGTATGTACTGTAAAGAATACGTGCGATAATGTACTAATGTGTGTATTGAGTGTTGTGTGGAACTTTTAACATTAAAACTTCAGCACAAATTAAGTGAATTTACCATCTCTCCCTAATTAAATATTAATTAAACTTAAATTATAGGTGCAAAATTGGGTATAACTCACTGTAGTAAGCCGTCAGTGTGATTTTAGGTTGTCACAGCTGTCACCCACAAATAAAGTGCCAAAATACCATGGTATTACCATCAAAACCGCCATATAAAACAATGTTTTTTTTTACCATTTTTAATGGTAAATACCATATTACATTATCTTTCTGTAGGATGATTTACGGTATAATACCATCTCTGTACCACAAATACAGCATTTTATTTTTATTTTTTTGCAAGAATTTGTAGTTTTAGCTTTTGAGTTTGGGTTTTGGATGTATTGGGTTTGAATTTTGGGTTCCATTTTGAAGTTTGTGGTCTTGACTTTTGATTTTGTCCAGTTTTTCCATTTAAATTTCAAACGTTACATTTAACGTTAACTAAATTTTAAGTGACTTTCTAGACATTTTCTACTTCTCATTTTGGCAGAATTCTGTGGAATGGGTTTAAAAATGTGAACTATGTCAGTTGTCGACTAATTGTTCTGACACTTTATTTTCACAGACGAGTAAAAACCAAATCAAGGTGGATTTAGTGGATGAGAATTTCACAGAACTAAAGGGCGAGATTGCCGGACCGCCAGATACGCCTTATGAAGGTCAGAGAAAAGAGAAGGTTATTCTGAACTGCTGACTGTGTGTTTCTGAAAACTTCTTAATTTTAGACCTGAAATACCATTTCTGATTGCAAAGATATCTGCAGTAATTCATATTTGCTTTTTGAAGATTTAATTTTCATACCATCTGCGATACACAGAGTCCAAATGTTTGGCCACACTTGCCAGTGGGCAGAATTGAGCAAATGCACTAATAAAGTGCTTTTCTTTTTACCATATTTTGCATTATATTTATGAAAAATACATTTGTTCTATTTGTTCCCATGACAGTGTGCTCAAAGTTATGAACAAATGTTGTTCAGTAACGTTAATAGAATGTTCCCTTTAATAATGTTATCAAAATGTTAGCACAACATTATTTATAATTCATTCATAGAGTGTTCTTTCCTGAAACGTTTCAGTTAGTTATGTTTTTTAAATGTTACTACTCATTTCAGAATGTTCAGAGATCATTCAAAAGTAGCATTCTCAGAATGTTTGTAAAATTATAATATGGAATGTTCCATTAACACTCACATAACCAAGTAAAAAATGTGTTGAATGTTCAGAGAACATTCAGAAATAACGATGTTATAATTTAATGTGAACGACCGTTAGCAAAACGTTCTTGGAACATATTTTTGTTAGCTGGGGTATGATGTTGATTTTATATCTTGCTTTGATTTTGGCTCTACTTTCTGTCTTGTTTTGTAGGTGGCAGATATCAGCTAGAAATTAAAATTCCAGAGACATATCCATTTAATCCTCCAAAGGTGAGTAACAAGACGATGATGTTCTGCCGAGTCCAAATACTGGCCGATCTAGTTAAACTGGGCTTGTTGTTACAGACTCTTGCTCAGAAACACGTGGGGCTGTATTTACATGATTTGTGATATTAGGTAGGGCTGCACGATAAATCGAAATGGAATCGAGATCGCGATTCGACAGAAGCTGCGATTGTCATGTGTATCTTTCAGTGAAGCACGTTCTGTGATCAGCAGTAAATCTCCATCCAAAGGCCAGAGGGCGCTCTCATGCTGAAACTCCAAATACGCCTCGCAGAAGAAACCCAGAAAATGCCTATCGCTGCAGCTGAATAAACAGAAGATTCAACTGCTTTCATTGATTCAACGTGACTAATAAACACACGACTACGGCAATATACGGTTTATCTGAGTACTTATTATTATAATTTTCATTCAAATAAAGTATATTTATAATGCAATGCCTTTATCACTGCTTAAATACTATGAAATATGTTGCGTGCCTTATTCTGTGTAAGAAGCCACATCATCTCACAGAAGGATTTATTTCAAACACTCGACTGACGTTATGAAGTGAGTTTGGAGTAAAAACATGTTATTAAATGTGGTATTTTCACATGCTTTCAGATGGAGCAGCATTTACTTCACAGAGCCGTAGTTCACTGAGAAGCTATGCAAACAGCTGTCATTATCGCGAACGATTTCTTCGATTTCATAATCGCGCGATTAAATCGTCTGCGTTCTTTTTTTGCGTAACTTGTCAGTGAACTATGTGGTAAATTCTGCTCCATCTGAAAGCACGTGATGATGATTTCCTGCTGATTACAGAACCGGCATTGCTATTAAAATGTGCATGACAATCGCATTCGATTAATCTTGCAGCCCTAATATTAGGGTAGTGTTGACTAGCAGTGCAGTGTGTTTGTGCAAAGAAATACATGCAGGAGCCTTCGTATAAACTCAACAAGCTTTATTTTATAACATCTCAAAGAAAACACTTTATATATGACGTACATTTCACTTTAAGCCAGTATTATTTTAGTATCATTGATATACTACTGTATAATAGTTTTTGTTAATATTTTGAATTAGATTTTATTTTTATATTTTCCATTTTCACTTTAATCTTAGTTAAATTCTTAGACGTTTTGTTGTGTTTTGTTATTTTTATAAATATTTTAAGCATGCCTGTATAGTTTATACATTTTTATGTATTCATTTTATTTGATTTAGTTTTAGTTATTTTAGTACATCCATTTAAACTAAACAAAAACAAGAAATGTTACCTTGTTTTTTGTTGTGTTTTTTGTCATTACATTTTATTTAATTTTTTTGTGTCTACATAGTTTTTATTTATTCATTTTAGCTTATTTAGTTGTAGTTATTTTAGGACATAAAGTTAAAATGAAAATGAGAAATGTTGCCTTGGCAGCTAGATGAAATAAAATAAGTTTAAGTTTATTTATATTTTATTTTATATTATTTCAGTAAAAGTTTCTTTTATTTCAAGAACCAAAATAGTTTAATGTTTTTTTTTTTATGGTTTTAGTTTTACTTAACTATAATAACTTTGCTTTAAGTGACATGAATATGTTTGCACAGAAATCACTTCTTATTTTTGTTTGTTTAAAAAACAAAATATGGCAACGATCTGTCTTAACTTGTTCCTAGTTTAAAATTTAGATGAATCAAGAATCATTTTGTACTCACATTGTGACTCCCTGAATTGAAACTGAATCCATGAGATTCACCTCTATTTTTGACTAGTGTGTCTTTTAAATGACAATTAAATAACTATTGCATTTATCCACTGATGTTTTTCAGGTTCGGTTTATAACGAAGATCTGGCATCCCAACATCAGCTCAGTAACAGGTGCCATTTGTTTGGACATCCTGAAGGACCAGTGGTAAGATCTCACTGAGCGCACAGTAGAGAAGTGAACCGCAGCAAGCGCTAGCGCTGGAGCTGGAGCTGAAGCTGTGTGTGTTTCAGGGCAGCGGCGATGACTCTGCGAACAGTCTTACTGTCACTACAGGCTCTTCTGGCCGCCGCTGAACCAGATGATCCGCAGGACGCAGTAGTTGCCAATCAGGTAGATGTTTTGGGCTCATGTCGGAAATGTGCAACTGATATGGGCTTAAAAATATATCACGGTATTTATTGCAGTAACTATATCAATGACAATAATTCAGGGAATCCTGTTTCTTTAGAGAAAAGTATTATCTTTCCTATTTTATTTTATTCCTGAGTACACGCGTAATGTAATGACTGTTCAACCAGTAACTGTTCATACTGGAAGCCGGAGGGTGCTCTTGCGCAGAAACTCCACACATGCATCCCGGAAGTAATACTACTGACACGCTCCAGGAAATCCCTAATATGGACAAAGGCATCCTGTTATCGCTGAATAAAACGCACAACGGAGATAGATAAATTTTAACTGATAAAACCTGAAGACAATAAACATACGATTGCACAAAATATATGGTTTATGAGTGTTCTGCATGCAGTCTTGGGTATTTTCCATAAGGAAAGTATATTTATAATGCAATGCAATGCTAATCGATAGCCTTTATCACTGTGTACACTATCGTTCTGTAATATGAAACCACGTCTGGTCACAAAAGAAGTTATTTCAAACACTCAACTATGTTATTAAGTTAATTTGGAGAAAAAGCATGTCAATAAATGATATCTTTGTTGGACAACAGGTTTAAACAGGCTCATACACATGCTACTGTGCTACATTTATTCAGACCAATTTTTTGTCGCACTGTACAGCCCTGACCAAACCAGTTCAAGATTGTAGAAGGAGCTCCTCGTTTAGCGATAAACTCCTTCTCAATTTCACGTCCGCCTTCCGCGCTGTCGCACACAGAAATATGTCAACAACTAAACTTTATCGTTATTATCGTGGGAAGACTAATTCTTATCATGGGGAGAATTTTTACCGGTATTTTGCAAACTATAAGACATCGCCCATCCCTATGTGCAACAAAAAGTGGTGGAAAATGGCTTTCATGTAGCATTCAGGGCCCTTAAAAAATGCCATTTTAGTTTGATCAAATTTATGTCCAAAAAATTCTTACATTCTGTATCATAAATAGTGTAACAAAGGGCTGGAAAAAATAAATTGTGATGCATTCTAATGTGATTATTACACTTTAGATTAAATGAAATTATTGTGTGCGTTGCACATTTTAAAGTAAAAATGCTGTGCTGATGTACTGTTGATGAATTTTGATTTTGAAAAAAAAAAAAAAACATGCAGTAATTTAGATGTACTATACCGTTCAATTTTTTTTTTTTTTTAATTAATTTTAAGCTGGGATGCATGAAACTGATCAAATGGGCCTGTAAAGACTTGTATAATGTCACAAAAGATTTCTGTTTCAAATAAATGCTGTTCTTCTGAACTTTCTATTCATCTGTGAATCCTGAAAAATAAAATGTATCACAGTTTCCACAAAAATATTGTGCAGCACAACTGTTTTCAACATTGATAATAATCAGTTTCTTGAGCAGCAAATCAGCATATTAGAATGATTTCTGAAGATCATGTGACACTGAAGACTGGAGTAATGATGCTGAAAATACAGCTGCACATCACAGAAATAAATGACAGTTTAACAGATATTCACATAGAAAACAGATATTTTAAATTGTAATAATATTTCACAATTTTTACTGTATTTTTGATCAAATACATGCAGAAGAGACTTCTTTCAAACACATTTAAAAAAGTCTTACCAACCTCAGACTTTTGAAGAGTAGTGTATATATACCACCATAGTTTCACTCACATGCACGTTTTCTACTAGAAAAACATACAGTTACTTGCTAATATAAACAAGCATGTTTTGAGTCTGAATTGGTCACTTCCTCTTTTAACATTCTTTATTTCCTGTCTGGAAGTATAAACAGAACCCAGATATGTTCAAACAGACGGCTCGACTCTGGTCACATGTGTATGCAGGAGCTCCCGTCTCCAGCCCAGACTACACACGCAAAATAGACAAACTCTGCGCTATGGGCTTTGATAAAGTGAGTAAATACACACACATTGATATCACATTTGTATGGAAGCTTGTTTTACAAAAAAAAAACATAATTGCGACATTTTATCTCACAATTCGACCTTTTTTTCCCCCTATTTTTGAATTTACAGCTCACAACCTGTGCTTTGTTTCTCAGTATTGCAAGATATAAACTCAGAATTGCAAAAAAAGTTTGAATTGTGTGCTATAAATTGTGAAATATAACTCACAATTGCAAGAACAAATGGGAATTGTGCGGTAAAAGATAAAATAAAATCACAGTTACCTTTTTTTTTTTTTCTGTGGTGGAAACAAAAAGTCAGAACTGCGAGATAAACTCAGAATTCTGATAAAAAGTCTGAATTGTGAGAGAAAAAGTCACAAGTACCTTTATTTTTTTTTTATTCTGTGGCAGAAACAATCTTCCATACATTTGTGTATATCACATTTATTGCAGTTTTTCAAAGCTGGAAAATAATTATCACAAACTTCTCATTCTGTAGCACTTCTGTGCCAAATATTTGTCCAAAAAGCATATGCACATATGTGTGCTGTGATTTTGTAATTTTGCACACTGTTATGAAGAAGAGTAATTGTGATGCAGCTTATGATGTTTGTGTAGCAAGTATTTCCTCCACTCAGAATCACTGACATGTGGATGTTCTCTTCTCCTCAGAACGCAGTAATAGCAGCGTTGTCGTCGAAATCCTGGGACGTGGAGTCAGCGACAGAACTGTTGCTTAGTAATTGAGTCCAACCTGAGGGGCCAAAGCTCCTTATCTGACACAATCCCACCCCCAAATCTCCTCCTCCTCCTCCTCAGTCCACACTACCTTCATCTCTATGAATCTCTTTTTCTTTATCCATCTTTTACCATTACTCTGTTCGGAACAGTTCATCCCAAACTGAAAATGCTGTTATCTTTATGTTGTTCTAAACTTGTCTTCTGCAGGAGACATTCAGCTGAATGTTCACGCTGCTCTGTATCTGTACACAGAACGTGGCTGGTGATTGGGCAGTATGGAAGCTTGTTTCCGCCATGAAATAAAAAAAATTAATTCGGACTTTGTTTTTCACAGTTATGTAAACAAAAGTCAGAACTGTGAGATGTAAACCTTGAATTTGTCCCTTGCAATTCTGAGTTTATATCTCGCAATTCTAATTTTTTTCCTCTAAATTGAGTTCATACCGTTCCATTTTGAGTTTATATCGCGTAATTCTGAGTTTATCTCAAAATTCTGGGTTTTTATCTCATAATTCAGAGTTTATATCTCATAGTTCTGAGTTTATATCTCATAATTCGGAGTTTGTCTAAAAATTCTGGGTTTTTATCTCATAATTCTGAGTTTATATATCATAGTTCTGAGTTTATATCGCGTAATTCTGAGTTTGTCTACAAATTCTGGGTTTTTATCTCATAATTCTGAGTTTATATTTCATAATTCTGAGTTTGTCTCAAAATTCTGGGTTTTTAGCTCATAATTCTGAGTTTATATTTCATAATTCTGAGTTTGTCTCAAAATTCTGGGTTTTTAGCTCATAATTCTGAGTTTATATTTCATAATTCTGAGTTTGTCTCAAAATTCTGGGTTTTTAGCTCATAATTCTGAGTTTATATTTCATAATTCTGAGTTTGTCTCAAAATTCAGAGTTTATATCTCATAGTTCTGAGTTTATATCGCATAATTCTGACTCATAAGTCAGAATTGTGTGATATAAACTCAGAATTGTGAGGACAAAAGTGAGAATTGTGAGATTAAAAAAAATCACAGTTACCTTCATTTTTTATTCCGTGGCAGAAATGGGCTTCCGTAGGTTTGGAACAACATGAAAGAGGGAAAAATTTACATTTTCATTCATTTTTGGGTGAACTGACCGTTTTTCCCCTCTATATCTCTTTCTCTCTCTTTTCTTTTGTTTACTTATTTTGGTTTGGATGTGCCTTTTTTCTTTCTCTCTCATAATAATCATCATCATCATCTCCCTCTGATTGGTTCTGCAATCTGACTCTAGCCCCGCCCCCTCATGCACACGCCCAATCAGCACTGCGGTCATTCTCCCTCCTGCACAATCATTGGCCCTTTTATGTGGAAAACATCTAGATTACATTTTTAAACTCCAGTGTCAAACTGAAGTGAAATGTTTCCTTCACTCATAGATGTTAATCTCAAACAGTCAAGACTGGAAGAAACCCACACACGCAAATAAACGAAAGATGAGAGTTCATCTGTAAATAAAGCTATTAAAGTCTGTATAAATTAAAGCAATGTGGCAATGCCTTTAGCCTATTTATTATTGCTTTGTGGAATAGTGAAATAAACACTAGTTTCATGGCTGAGCACGTGATGTTTGGATCTGTATTTTGCATCGACTGCAGGTTGTGAGAGCACAAAAACATTCATAAAAAGTATTTTTTATAGTGAGAGAGAGAGAAAATGTTAATTAGAATTGCAATTAAAGTGAAAGCTGAATTGATTTTGATCATATCTAATGTAAGTATTGTTTATGAGTGTTCTCAGATTTTTAGACCCCACTTACATTTCAAATATGAAAGTGAAATTATGTGAATAAGAGTGTCCTAAGTTAAAAGTAGCCAATAAATAATAAATCTGTGAAATGTATTTTACTGAAATTAACAGTAAAAAAATATATAATGTGTGTTAACTAATATAATGTTAGTAATATTATATATGAATACTTTGTTTTATACCTGTGTAACGTGGAAGTTTTTTGGCTCAGAAATGGCTAATCATTTTCACAAATAATTAACAGTTAAACAGTTCTCAAATTTTTAACAAATAATTGCAGGTAATTAACAAGTTTTTTGCATTTTTAGTCTTTTACAGTTAAAATGACAAACGTTTTTCAGTGAAGTAAAAATGGTCGTAAAGTAAAGATTTGACCAAAAACAATATGTATGTTTGTTTGTTTGTGTGTGTGTGTGTGTGTGTGTGTGTGTGTGTGTGTGTGTGTGTGTGTGTGTGTGTTTGTTTGTTATAAGCTGTTTTCCCCATGTGGAAAACAGCTTATAAATTATACAGCATTATCTTTTTTGAAAATCTAAAAATGCAGAAAGTTTTGTGTGAGGGGTAGGGTTAGGTGTAGGGTTTGGATAAGGGGACAGAAAATACAGTGTGTACAGTATATAAAAACCATTATGTCTATGGAATGAACCCATAAAACATGGAAACCAGTGTGTGTGGGTCAGGTGGGATCTGGCCCTGAGTGTGTTTTGTGTGTGTGTGTCTCTGTGTGTGTGTGGGTGTGTGTGTGTGTGTGTGTGTGTCTGTGTGTGTGTATGTCTCTGTGTGCGTTTGTGTGTGTGTGTCTCTCTGTGTGTGTGTGTGTCTCTGTATGTGTCTGTGTGTATGTGTGTGTGTGTGTCTGTGTCTCTGTGTGTGTGTGTGTGTGTGTGTGTGTGTGTGTCTCTGTGTGTGAAATTCAAATTCAAATGTATTTTTACAGCACTGAATAAAACAACAACGTTGACCATAGTGCACAATGAGCAGAAGACAACTTTTAAAAAGGGATCACGTCCATATAATTATATAAGTAATATAAAAAAGAAACCTTAAAAAAGACAATCAAAATACATCTTAACTAGGATCAGAAGAGGCATATATGGTACTAGCAACCTTCGCACTTATCTATGTTCGAACGCTATCATAAAAAAATATGTTTTCAAGTGGCTTTTAAACTGATCGAGCGTCGGTACGTCCCTAATGTATGACGCCAGGCTGTTCCATAATTTAGGGGCAGCGACCGCAAGCGCGCGATCCCCTCTAGATTTCATCTTAGACCGAGGAACAGCAAAGAGGTTTCTGTGATTGAGATCGTAGGGATCTTATTGGCTTTTGTTCCTGAATTAGATCAGCAATATAAGATGGAGCTAAGCCATGTAGAGATTTAAATACAAATAATAACATTTTGAAATTAATCCTAAAAGAAACAGGCAATCAATGCAATGATTGTAACACCGGGGTAATATGATCTAATTTACAAGTACCTGTGAGCATTCTTGCAGCCGCATTTTGGAGTCGCATCTGCAGTCTGTCTAAAACTTTATTTTGAGCACCATAATATAGCGAATCTTAGAGATCATCCTCAATTGGAAAAAAACTCGTTCTGACAATTTCATTTATCTGCTTGTCGAATTTTAGTGCGCTATCACAAATCATCCCCAAATTTTTTACATGGTGTTTCCTAAAAGGGCTCAGAGGACCCAGCTTAATTTGAACCGCATTATCAAGTTCAGAGGGACCAAAAAGAATCAATTATGTTTTCAATTCATTTAGGCTCAAACAATTTACAGACATCCATGCCTTGACATCATTCAGACAGGCCAACAATCTTTCCATGGCAGTGGAATCATTTGACTTAAATGGTAAATACAATTGTGTATCGTCTGCGTAGCAGTGAAAGGACACACTGTATTTATGCAGAATCGAACCTAAATGGGAGCATATAGAGAGAGAGGAGAAGCGGTGCCAACACAGACCCTTGAGGAATACCACATGATTAAGGTGATGAAACTGATGTACACTCACCTATACCAACAGAGAAACTTATATGTGTGCAGTGTGTGTGATATGCGATCAAATTTCTAATTCTAATTCTGGCACCCAACATCACAAGAAGATGATATTTTAAGCTCATGTAGCCGAATCTGCGCTGGTTTGAATGTGCCGCCTCCAGTTTCCCCTTTGTTTTGCTGCCTCCAGCTAGCGCTGTGACTGGCCGTACGTCACTCAAAACAACAGGCCAATCAGAAGAGAGGCTCATGAATATTAATTAGACAGGCCCAAATCGACCTGTGCTCAGCAGAGCTCCCGAGAGAGGAGTTGTAAAGATATCTGACCCTAGTTACCTGTGGTTGGCCTGGCCGTACGTCACTCAAAACAACAGGCCAATCAGAAGAGAGGCTCATGAATATTAATTAGACAGGCCCAAATCGACCTGTGCTCAGCAGAGCTCCCGAGAGAGGAGTTGTAAAGATATATTGAGATGCTTTTTGGTACTTATACCGCAAATATATATTCTTAAGGACATCAAAACCAAAAATAAAACTCCAGAAAGTGTAAAATATGTGACCTTTAAGTCATTTTCCTTTTAGAGTAAACGTACCTTGATTTAAAGGAATAGTTCAACTAAAAACTACACTTTACTGAAAATGTGTTCCCTCTCAGGGCATCCAAGATGTAGATGAGTTTGTTTCTTCATCAGGTTTGGAGAAATGTAGCATTGCATCAGTGTCTCAGCAATGGATGCTCTGCAGTGAATGGGTGCCGTCAGAATGAGAGTCCAAACAGCTGATAAAAACATCACAATAATCCACAAGTAATCCACAGCACTCCAGTCCATCAGTTAACATCTGGAGAAGACAAAAGCTGAAACAAATCCAGCATTAAGACGTTTTTAACTAAAATACAAGTCCATAATCCATAATAACGCTTCCTCCAGTGAAAAAGTGTTCTGGTGTGAATCAGGAGAGAAATCTGCACAGATCAAGCAGCGTTTAAACAGCTCTAAACACATATGTGGCTGGATTTTGATGTGAGAGACAACAGCAGATGCACTTTATCACTGGAGGAAGCATTATTATGGATTATGGACTTAGGTTTCCAGGACTCCAGAAGCAACGGTTTCAAGTTAAAAACGTCTTAATTATACATTTGTTTCAGCTTTTGGTTTCACAAGATGTTAATTGATGAACTGGAGTGGTGTGGATTACTTGTGGTTGTTCTTTTTTTTTGTGTGAACTATTCCTTTAAGAGTTTTTAGATATCTGTAATGGACAACAAAATAAAAATACTGAGTGCAGAAACTTTTTATGATTCAAGAATTTATCATTTCTTAATTTCTAACTGCAGTCTTTTTTTTTTTATTCAAACAGATTGTGCTGCATTGTGCATCATGCTGGAGCCTCTGTGTGTGTGTGTGTGTGTGTGTGTGTGTGTGTGTGTGTGTGTGTGTGTGTGTGTAAAATAATCTGAGTATTAATAATGCAGACTATTGCCTCTGAATGAGCACATCAGTTATGTCAGTCTTTCTGATAAGAGATTCGCTTTTCTTCATTAGAAGGCTGTGACCCGTCTTCATTACAGGAGTCTCTCTCTCTCTCTCACACACACACACACACACACACACATGCGGCTGTGAATGAGGATATACCATAGACTTTCACTGGTTTTATATGAAACTAATGATCACGCACAGTGAATTGTACTGTCACATTTACTTTCTTGAAGCCCCTTTTGTCACCAGCGTGTGGTGGGAATGTTTTACACTACATAATGTTGGCTTGTTTGTAGCTTATTGTGTTTACTCTCCATTTTTGCCATATACCTCACCCTAGTGAAGGTTTCTGTTAATTCATGCACTGTTTTTTGTTCTTCTGTTGAAAAACAAAAGATCCTGTCAAGAAATATCCGTTTTGTCTGGTAACAGAACAACTAGTCAGCTAAGTTGTAAAATAACCGAAACCCAACAGCGAGTCTTGTCTGGTACCAAAACTCTATTAACAGTCTTCTATCAGCCAAGAAGTTGAATGAGCAAAGCCAGAGAAGAGCAATAGCAGGAGACGAAGTGATGACGATTAAAGGAGCAGAGTTTATTGAATAATCTCAGTTGTGTATATTTAAATGCTCAGACTTCGTCTGACCAGCACAAATACAACAGATGTTATTATACCACAAACAACAGCGATGGAAAATTACTGCTTCACAACAACATCCTATCCTATGAAGAAAGACATTCTCTGATCTCTTACTCATGAAGACAAATAGCCATTCAAACGACACAATCATAAGACTAAACAAATGAAAAATAATAAAACATAATAATATAATATAAATGACTAATCAATCAATGAAATGAGTATATAAATGGCTTAAATGATTATTCTAAATGATTACATGATTAACTGGAATAATACAACGATTACATGACAGATGATTATAAATGAACGAATGAATAAATTAATATAAAAGAAAGTAAAATACAATGCAAATGTATGTTGCATTTGAGGATCCTTCATTCCCCCTCCTAATCATATGAAACCATTTGATTACATAGACTGATTAAATGCAAGCAAACTATCATAATCATCATCAAAAACATACTTTGAAATGTTGGGGTGATCAGGCCATACTCTTCCCTTCTAAATGTTCAAAAGAACAGTTTCACCCCATAAATTTGGTACAACTGGAATTTCCAAAAATCATTGTGAAAACATTCTTTGATTACTTAAAGATTACTGGAGTATATTTTACAGAGAAATACAATTTCAGTTTCAAAATCTTACGTTTCATTCAATGTGTTAGTTGCTGTTTCTTTTGAAATGAAATGTTAACATTTTTGAGCAAATGTCAATTTTTCAGTTTTAAGATTGAATCCCACATTTAAATGAGGATATCACTCCTGAAACTTTGCAGCATGTACATCCAGTAGCAGCATTAATATTAAATGGCATGGCATCTTATGCACAGAAGCTACTGACACATGTTTCTTTTCTTAATGGCAGATCTGGTTTTCAGATGGAACATTTTCGATAAAAAAAACCCTGACAGCTACAAAAACTAAGCCTTTTTTAATTCTCAGAAACAACTTATGAAAGAAATACAGGCAGACTGGTCTGTAATAAGTGAAGATGGTAATGCTGTTTTTGGAGTTGTTTAATCATCCTTTGCCGAGATCTTGAGAAAGTTAATTGTTTCGATTTGCAGTTGATATGTTTTAATCGCTGACATGATGGCATGCGCTGTAGAAATGAATTTAAATGGGGATAAAAAAAGCTGTCTGCCGAAATGTAACTGAAATATTTGAAATAAAATAGTTATTTATAATTGAAGTAAAATACATTTTGAAATAATACAATTATTTATTTAACTGACCCATGAAAATAAACCAGATTAGGTAAAATGAACATGAACTTTGGTCTGAAAAGTAAGCTCACCTTTCATAAAGTTATTCCAACTAAACTTTATCAGTTCAAATAACCAAATTAGTCAAGTTGAAATACCTAATATTCTAGGTAAATACAACTTAACTGAGTCAAAGTACAGGATAACTTACAAAATTAAGTGTATTAAGACATTTTACAGTGTGTCCTGTGCAATCTGTTTTCAACAAACCAGATAAATCAGATTGATCAGAAATTAGATTTGTGTGAGTGTGTGTGTGTGTGTGTGTGTGTGTGTGTGTGTGTCTGTCTGTCTGTCTGTCTGTGGGTGTGTCTGTGTCTGTGTCTGTGTGTGTCAGGGGGTTTTATTTTCCATAAATAATTGTGTCTAGACTAGGATATAGCACTTTTGTTTAGGAGGTTTAAGAAGAACGATAGATGTATTTCCATGTTTTTAACAGCCATAATACAAAAGATGAAATAATCAATATATACTGTATATACTCAGCATAAGAATGTGTAATTATCTCAATCCACTCATGCCAGCTTTTCAAGCTGAATTGACAGGTCTCTTCAAATAATCAAATTTATAGATTCACATAAGATCTTTTGTCACTGAATCAGAATAACTATGTCCTATATCCCTAGTTTTCCTTTTATTGTTGCTAACACTACTGTTGCTACTGTCACTGCTGCTCCTGCAACTGCTGCTGCTCCTGCTCCTGCTCCTGCTGTTATAATTTTCCACCCCCAGTCTATCATGTTTTGTCTAAAAGCCTTCCACTGGATCTCTTCCTGGGCTTGTGCATACATCTCATTAGTGTAGTGCTGTCCTCCATTCACCCTCACCATCTTCTCAATCTTCTCCAGAAGTCCTGTGACCTGAGAGTGGTTCCTCATGTTCTCATTATCGAATGAGTGAAATCTGCCACCAAATGAATCAACAAGAGCCCTGAGATTTCTACTTCTTTTGATATACTCATCTAACGGTTCACCCTTCAGATGATCAGCGTGAGTGAACAGAATGATGGTGTAACGAGCTGCATCTTCTCCGAAGTTCTCCTGAATCCATTTCACTCCATTTCTCTCCTCGTCTGTGAAACTCACATCCAGTCTGATGACCAGCAGGAACGCATGAGGACCAGGAACAGACATGTAGACGCAGTTCTTGATCTCAGCACTCAGTTGTTCTTCTGACATTTCAGTATCAAACAGGCCTGGAGTGTCAGTCACTGAGACGTTTGTGTCTCCCATCACCACTTCTCCTCTCTCACAGGTTTTAGTAACTGACTCTGGTGAACTAGCGCTCTGAAAACACTCTTCACCCAATACAGTGTTTCCAGCTGAACTCTTTCCTGCTCCAGTTTTTCCCACTAGAACAATCCTCAGATCTGATAACGAGAGAAGAATATATTATATTTAAACATAATTTACAAACAAACAAATAAATAAAATTAAAAGAATATATCAGATAATATGGTTTGGTTAACATTACATACTATGAAGTAATGTGTCCTTCTCTCTAAATCACAAAGAATCTAAGGCTGGCCACACACTAGAAGATTTCAAGGCTGATTTGCACCCCCGAACGATTCGAGGCTTGTCGCAGACATTTTTTTTTTTTGTCCAAAAAATCCTCTATTGGGTGGTGTCATTACAATTATTTAACTGTTCCCAATCGAGACGGAGCGTCCCCAAACTTAAATCGTAAATATAAAAGATGTTTGATGTTTACAACCCGTGATAGCCAAAAGTGATGTTACGTTCTGTTAGGGCTGCACAATTATTCCCTTGAAATTGTAATTGCGATTATTAATTACGATTATCACAATTTACATTGAATGATGTTTATTATACCATTTTTTTATGCAACTGCATGCCGTATTTTTATATGAAAATAAACAAGCTGAAAAACTTTTAGTGCTTTTCTATTGCCGCTTTGAACGATTACATAACTGTGGCATCCATAATTGTAATCGCGATTAGAAATTTGATTAATTGTGCAGCCCTACGTTCTGTGTCGAGGCTTCGGGGCGTGTGTCGAGAAATCCCGGCAGCTTTCAGTGAAGCGCGTATCGAGGCTTGTATCGCTTTAGAGCAGGGTTCCTCAAATCTCGCCCTGGAGGGCCAATGCGCTGCGGAGTTTAGCTCCAACCCTGATCAAACTCACCTACCTGTGATTTTCTAATGATCCTGAAGACATTGATTAGCATGCTCAGGTGTGTTTGATTAGGGTTAGAGCTAAACTCTGCAGAAAAGTGGATCTCGTGGGCCAGATTTGAGGATCCCTGCTTTAGAGCAATGATGTTATTGATGACGTCCGAAGCCTCGCTTGGCCTGTGACTGGTTCAGGAAGCGGTTCGAATCTTGTAAATTCACAGTCCTCTGCCCTGATAAACTCAGCCACTTTCCAGTTTTAGACTAATAATATTGCCCCTCCTGCCTATTATGAGCAAAGACTTGATTTACACACATTTGATAGCTCCATTCATTTCAAGCCAATACGTTTATTACACGGTTATTTTATGTTATACAATCATCGTATACCACTAGAAATTACACATTATATTCATATAAATAGATTAGTCTACGTGGAAATGGATTTTTTTTCTTCACCATTATTTCTAATCCTTAACTAGCGCAAAATACAGTGTATCACAGACCACATCAGGCCATCTGTAATGTATCTGCTTGTTTTACACTCTTTGGCCATCAGCTGGTAGTGTGAGCAAATGAAGCCTCGAGAAATGAACCCTTTTGTAAACCACTTGGCTGAAAAGCTTCAATGCTTCATGAGGCTTTATCTCTCCGTCACTAATAGCAAATGAGAGCGAGCAAGCATCACCTACTGGTTCTTCCTGTTCCCCAAATGTCGTCTTTTAAAGAGGATAGAAGGCCATGCAGGTTTGGAGTGACACAATGAGGAAATGATGACAGGATCTTCAATTTATTGGTGAACCAATTTACATTGAAAGGGGAGTTTTATGATTCAGAAATGTAATAATACCATAATATAAAGTAATTATATAAAGTAAGAAAGATCTTCATCAGTGGCAACCCAGGAAAAATACAGGAGTGTGTAAGCATCTCTCATGTTTGTGTTTAATGATAAAGTAGTATAATGTTAAATCCATCATATTTATTCAGTGGACTGATGGATTTAATCACAGCAGCAGAATGGATGAAGAAGTTCTTTGTTATTGTATTTTATTGAGCTCATCAACTCAAATCTCAATTTATTTAAAAAGCACAATTAAAAATAACCACAGCTAAGACTTATGTAAAATATAAAACAAAACAAGCAAGAACAGACAAAATATGTATATGTTTGTAAAATATGTTGGTGCAGTTCTTATACGGATCGTAAACTGTGCCAAAGTTTAGGTGTGGCTATGTGGCAAATGCACAATCACCCCTGGATTTTAATTTTTTGATTTTGAAACAGTTAACAAACTCTGGCTGGCAGACCTAAGAGTTCTCCTGGATGGTGTTCACAAAACATGTCAGAAAGGTAAGAGGGGGTGAGGTCATTTAAACAGTTAAAAACAACTGAAGCACTCTATTCTAAAGATTACAATACTTACAACAGGCAAATCCTAGAATAAATGAACGCATGAATTGCAGTGTCAAAGCGCTTAAAAGAAAGAAAACAAAGTCTTCACTTTAGCCAGTGCTCTTAGATTTGACAACTAAATTTGTTTGCCTTTCAAATTTAAGTGCACTATCAAATAAGATGCCTACGTTTTTTACAGTACACATGATTTAACTGAAGGTTTAACAATAGCATGCTTTAAACAACCAGGTACAATTCCTGATACCTGCACTTGCTATTAAAAACTAGAAGAACAGGGCCAACCACACTAAACACAATCACATACAAATACTTCTTTTAAAAGACAGGGAAGAATGGCATCATAAAGAGACCCATAAGGCTTTAGTTGGTTAACTATCTTCTGTAGAAAAGAAAAGAAAACAGAATTGAACTGGCTAAAGGTAGACCTATTGAAGGAACAGTCTGATATTCGGTCTAATTTTGCTAATCTTGTCGCCAAAAAAAAAAAAAAAAGCTTTCACACATATCTACACTGTAACTGATTTTTATAATTTGAACAGTATTATACTGTAATATGTACAGTAAGATACTGTAAAATGTGTATACAGTATTTTACTGTAAACCGCAAAGGATTATGGGAAAATATACGGTCACTACTGTATTTCCTCACTACTGTAAATCAATTTACAGTAGTGAACTTGCCCGCGAAAAACTGACCAATGGCAAGGGAGAGATCTTTTTTGACTGTTTGGTGGAAGTGGCTGTAAAAAGACAAAGGAGAAATGCACCGTTAACTCGACGAAAGGTTAGTATATTATTTCTGTTTTATGCAAAACTGCATATTTTAAGATGTTTTCACTTGTTAACAGCAAACTAACATTATTCATCGTGTCATTTTTCATGTCGGGAGTTGGAGCCTTTTTTTCTGACTGACGGCCGGAATG